CCGAATCGATCCGTCTAAATTTGGAAAATTAGTGTTTTTCATCAAGGCTAAACGAGTGATGAAAATAATAAATCGAGAATTGTCATTAAGTATATCCGTTTTAAAATAATTGGGTAGAAGTCGGCAATCGCCTAGAAAATTTATCGTGTACATTTTCTGGTGTTAACAGTTCAAATTTTATATTTTTTAAAGGCACTTCAATCTGTCTCTGTTTGTCCTGTTTATGCATCCAATTTGTGAAAATCATCTCGTTCGGAATATGCTTTGCGCAAGCAATTTTCCCCAATAACATAAAAAATGGGCGTCTTGTTCTGTCAGTAGCTCCGAATGGCAGACTTTAAAATGCATCTCAGTATTTTTCAATTTATGTCGCCGTCAATATGTTTGACTCGAATTGTGGCGTCGAAGCTGCGTAAGTATACGAAAACGAGGATGGAGAGACATTTCGGGAGAAAAAGAAAAGAAAAGATAACAAAGGACGAAGTAAATGCAAAAGAAACGAACCGCGACGTAGGCAATTTTTCTTTTGAGTTATGTGCTCCATAATTTTAAACTACCCCATGCCCATATGTGAATGAAATACCACATTCTTCCGTTTCAATGTATTTACGACTTTTTACATGTCGGTAGGTAAGTTCAGTTAATGTATGCGTGATTTTGCCTTTCGAATATACTTATACAGATATATGTATAAAAAATATTCTTTAAACCTTCACTGAGATCGTTCGGTTTTAATTTACTCTTGTTCACTGTGCTTTTGGATATTTTCCTGTTGAAAGCTGATACAAAATGGGAAAACTTTCGAGTATAGATCAATCCAATGGATTTGGTAGCTTTTTACCTAACGGTTTTGAACTTTAGACGCGTTTGATATTTTTTATTGAATCCAGTCGTAAAAAAAAAAATCAGTAAACTACCATAAAAAGGGCACTTCTCCTTTGTGTGAGTAATAGCCTCGTTTTATTTATATTGAAAGTATGTCACGATCAGTTGACGGATGAGGGTGATGAACTGTACAGCTTTTGGTCCAATCGGGGAGTCCCACAGACTATTAAATCACCTTTATGTAGCTGATTGAATGACTTTAAAACGAAATCTAGGATTACATGCCTTCACAAAACGGCAAGTCGTTAGACTAGAATCGTAAAACTATTTACTGTTTTAGCTGATACTGTTTGAGTAAACAACGTTTACTTTGTTTCTGGAATAAATTAAACAAAAGGTTTTGCTAAAGCTAAACGCCTTTTAGGTATCAAAATTTTCATAGCCAAATGTCAGTTTGCTATTTTCTTTGGTTAGAAATGTATTTTTTTTATCGTTTGAATATCCTCATTTCGCATTCCTTCCAGTGAAATGCATCCTGTGAAAATTATTGATGTGAAAATAATAATAACAAAGTACTGACCGAACTGACCGTTTCTGATAGAAATTCGAGGCAATTCTTCTGAAAGTTTTCCGCTTAGGAAATATTATTTCCCTTGTTTCGCAAAAGTTGTATCGAGGGGTCTATAGCCTGCCCGTCGGAAACACCTAAAATATGATTTACAACCACACTGCATGCATACATGACCATCTCTGGACCTCCACTACTTCTGAAGAAAATAACAAATCAACATAATATATCATACATCTAATAAGGGGCTAAAACAGTCGAGAGAAATTTAGAATAACTATTTCTCATTTATTATCGTGTGTGTGAATTTTTCTATTGATTTTAAACGTTTTGATGATTACAGCATTAAGAAAAATATAATCGACTGTAAAATTTGTANCCCCCCCCCCTTCCTCTTGTCTCTAAGCAATAGTCCTCCCAAAAATTTTCAATAGTGGATTTTATCATAAACTACTGAGTTAATGTGTGAAAAGCCACTTTCCAAAAAGAATTCTGACAATATGTGCACCCGGATTGTAGGTATTATTCGTCTTGCTTTGTAATGAGGTCCATTAAGATTATTCCAAATATATTATGTGATATCATACGGTAGTTTCGTGTTTCCTTGTATAGGGAGTTACCGACAATTATAGACGAATTGACACATAGATTGGTACGGAATTAGACGTGTTCGCTCCACCGGGGATGTGATTTACAGCGGTTGCTTTGATTAGTGTACGGCACATAAGCCGAAATGGAACACTATCTACAACATGTCTAACTGGTTTAACATTACAAGATCGAAATTATGTCTTGTTCAATTACAAAAACATGACTTTAAACGCATTGTTTGCATGCGGACAATTCATTTCAATAACATGTTAGAAATGATATGATAGAAGAGATCAAACTAGAGATGGATCTGGTACTCGGTTTGGATCCGGTATCCTAAAACAAGTGCCGGATCTACCAGGTAATTCTAATAATAATTTAAGTGTAAGAAAATAAACTACCTGATAGAAATTGGTAATTATGATTGTATTGGAATAGGTTCTTAGTCTTAATTTGTGTTATTTATTGATTAATATGCTTAATTGTTTGCTATTTCGATAATATAACTTGTGTTTATCACTTTTAGTGTTTATAATCATTATAGGCTCATTTTAATGGGTTCAGATCAACCCTCTCGTTAAAAATTTGCCAGCCAAGAATTAAAATTTCATTAGTTTAGTGTTTAAACGACTTTTTTAACTTAATGTGGTTTGGGATGTTGGTGAGGGGGGTATTTAATGAAAACCTCGCTAGAACGAAGACATGAACCTTTAATCGTAGATCTCTCTAGATCAAATGATAAACTAATGTATTGACAGGGAGAAGGTATTTAATGTTTATTGTCACATATGGTTAATTTAGGTTAATAGATTGAAATTTTCTGTGAAATGCATATATAATAATATAGGTACTGCATTTGTAATATCTAATTAGTGTAATGGTTTAATCCCTGAAGTGTCAATGGTTTAATTTATGCTTAACTTTGTTAGTCAAATCACTGATGCCAGCACCTAATATGAAATGCATATTGGCAATAGCTTAAACGTAGCCTCAGTGCATGCTATTTGTATAAACCATATATGTTTGTGCTTATGCACCTAAAGCTAAGCAAGTTGACCTTTCGATTCAATTAATATTCGCGTTAAGACACAGTCAAAGGGCATCTAGGGAACCAATTCTGATGTCGTGTTCTCTTAGCGTTTATGCTGTATAACAAAACATCCACATACTAAATTAACTGTGCCTTCCATAAATATAATTAATAGGCATTAATAACAACAATGTACTAATTTCCACTTGTTCTAAAATCGCTAATAATTGTTTAATCCTATAAGGACATCTTTCAGAATACATAAATATATTTTCTAGATTTAGAGATAGCTGTAAATAAAATTGAAGCGGTATTGACAAAACAGTATTGTATGAAAATAAATAAAAGTAAAACAAAAAATACTGGCATGCAAGGGAAGAAAAAGTAGGGAAAGAGCGATTCGAAAGATAGGAGACGAAAAATTACAAGAAGTGACTTATTTTAGATATTTAGGAAGTCAGATAATTTAGGACGGAAGGAGTAGTAGCGATATAAAGCAAAGGATAGCGCAGGGTCGAGTCGTCTTCAATAAAAAGAAGTCACCTCTATTCTCGCGAACGTTTAATTTAGAAATTCGAAAAGGATTGTTAAATATATATGTTTGGAGCGCGGACCTGTACGGGTTCGAAACATGGACAGCGGGCTTGGTGCAAAAGAAAAGGTTAGAAGCGTTCGAAATGTGGTGTTACAGACGAATAATGAGGATACCGTGGATAGAGGTTAGAAATGAAGTGGTATTATAAAGAATAGGAGAACAGAGGACTCTAGGGAAGTCGATAAGCAATAGGCGAGATAGATTGGTAGGACACCTTTTCAGGCATGAAGGTCTAGTCAGAGACGTATTACAAGCAGAAACAGGAGTTAAGAGGAGTAGAGGTAGACCTAGATTAAATTACTGTTTGCAAATAGTTAAGGATGTGGGTTGTTCTAGTTTTGGGGAAATGCGAAGATTAGCTCAGGCTAGAAGAGAGTGAAGGTGCGTGTCCAACCAGTTTTAAAATTGGCGACTTTATGATGATGGTGATGATGATGATAATGATATAAAAACTTATAGATATATAGACAAACGTATAATGTTAACAATTGACTAGGAAATTGTCAAATGTGAGTGACAAGGTTTCTTCAAATTTTGGAATTATTAATTTAACAGAATAGAAAGTTATTTTTTTAGGGAAGGGGTTTTAAGATTAGCGTAATTAAAAGCTAGGTGAGTTCTGGGGTGCTCCCCCGTTTTATTCTAAGGTAAGTTACGCTACTGATTGTGGGTACATATATTTCAATGACAATATTCTGCTAATACGGTTGAACTTAATGACAAGAAAGCCTGATGTATTAGAGCACGTTCAGAAACAAATTGACCAGTGCGTATTCATGCACCGCATTAGATGGGAACATTGTACACACTAATAATTTATCATCACGGCTAACCAAAGCCTGTGCCATCGTAATGGACAAACTTAATTATTCCAATTCTCCACCATGATAGTCGCTTCATACGGGCTTATCTCTAACAGTTTACCTTCAAACCGTCCGACCAATCAATTTGCATACATTTTCGCATGTCTATGATTAAAAAAAAAATTAAACATTTTGGTATCTTGTAGAGCATTATAAATAATGGTCTATAAATCTATAAACGAAGTATAATAAATACAAACAGATTTAATTTATCATTTCATCAGTTCTTTATTTCAAAATTTATCGAGATATTTTCCTTATTATGTTGTTATATGTTCTAATAGTAAATGTTGTAAATATAATTTAAACAACATGTAGCCATTTGATTTTATTGCTTTGCCTAACTTTTTGGTGGGATAACTGTAACGTAAGATGAAATAATAGCAATATTCGTGTTAAAATCCTTGAACTGCTTCTTTTTTATGGGGTGCTACGCCTGAGCCGACTGACAAGGGCGATAAGGACATCATCTGATAACTAGATAAAAACGTTCTCTAGTTGAACAAAATACCGTATGTAGTAAATCGTCGCGAATCAGTGCTAGTAAACGGATTGTTGTAGCGTCGTGTGTGGTGCCTTAAGTAATTATACTTTTTTGGTGGGTACAAGCGTAAATAGGACCAAACTTTAGTGTTTAGGTGATTCATGTAATACAACAACTGGGAAACAGCTTGGAAAAACCAGTAAGTCGTATTGTTTAACGTTAATTTTGACTGATGCAAATACTTAAAATGATGTTAAAGATTTTAATTTATTATTATCGTTTATGGTTATAAGCAGATTCGTTAGGTGACGAAATCGGTGTTCTTTGAAAAGAGGGAATCTGTAATTTCAGATGTAATAATAATACTGCCATACCATCTACTTTTAGTAGCGGTTAATATTTTAATAATTATGAAACATCAATGTGAAATCACCCTAATTTCTTCCCACTACAGATTACCTCAAATTAATGATGAAAAAGCCAGGGGCCTTGGTTTGATTCCCTGCGAGGATGTGACAACAGCAACAAAAAAAATTTCCTCGTTAATTTGAGGTAATCTCTAATGGAATGAAATTAAGTTGACTTCACATTAATGTTTCCTAATTATTGTAATACAGTAGTAGTTCAACTATATTTTCAATTAAGAAAATTCATCAACATTTCAAAAATATAAAACAACCGAACTATCGTCGGAAAGGGTAATTTGCAAATTTTCAACTAAGTATGTTCCGTATAAAAGCTTGTTCTGATAAAGTTAATTAATCTATTATTCTATGAGATCCATTAGCGTTGATTTGAATTAGTTTGTGATCGAAATGAGATAGGTAGGCTCTATAAAAAGAATAGGCATACAGTTGTGGTGGCACAATGTACATTTCAGTTCAAACATTTGGAGTTCGACAATAGATATGAAGTAGATTTGGCTAGATGTGCGGTAGGTAATCCACAATGACGAATGATTTATGCGAATTCAGGGGATGTATTGTTTACCTCTAATTTAGATAGATAGATACAATTTAATAGCTTTTAGTGCCCGATTAAATCGGTCGTGTGTATATTTTACTATTTTTGCGTTCGCGTTTCAAAGCTGGATTATTTATGGTACCTAATGGCATCAACGTTAATTATCATAGAAACTATTGTTGCAGTAAAATAAAGCCAAACCGACGAATTAAAAACAGCTTTTACACCGGACTTAATTACACCCTTTCAAATAAATTATAACTCTATTGTTCATAATGGTTTTTCTACAAAGGGAAAAAATGAAAACGTAAACACGAGTGCTGCTTTATACAAATCAAATAACGAACTTAAGGTATAAAAAATTAGTTTTATCTATAGAAATTAGAAACGGAAGTTGTACATGCAAAGTTAAGAGTTATTAACTATTTGCGAACAGTAATCTAAATCTACCTCTACCCCTATCCCTACTAACTCCCGTTTCTGCCTCTAATATATCTCTGACTAGACCTTCATGTCTGAGAAGGTGTCCTACCAACCTATCTCGCCTATTTCTTATTGACTTCCATAGAGTTCTCTGTTCTCCTAGTCTTTCTAATACCTCTTCATTTCGAACCTCTATCCACGGTATCCTCATCATTCCGCTGTAACATCACATTTCAAATGCTTCTAACCTTTTCTTTTCCGCCTTGCCCACCGTCTATGTTTCGCATCCGTACAGCGCCGCGCTCCAAACATACACCTTTAACAATCTTTTTCAAATTTCTAAATTCTTCTTCCTGTTGAAGACGACTCGACCCTGCGATATCGTCTGTTTTATTTCAACACATTTAACAATTTCCAAATTAACCGTTCGCGAGCATAGAAGTGACTTCTTTTTATTAAAGGCGACTCGAACCTGCGCTATCCTCTGCTTTATATCCTTACTACTCCATCCGTCCTGACTGACTTATCTGACTTCCTAGATATCTAAAATCGACCACTTGTTCTAATTTTTCGTTTCCTATTCAATGTATATCTTCCATAGAGTACGTCCAAATTGGATTTATCAAAAGTGACATCACATCATTCACTTAGTTGCTCTTTCATTAACAAAAAAATAATGTCATACATATATTTGTTTTTTTTTTTGTATATTCAGTGGCATAAAATAATGTTGAAACTTACCTCAGAGCTGTTAAATCTAGCCTTGAAACTAAGGTAAAAATTGACAATTGATTTTTTGAGAAATAATGGTCTATTTCAGACATCATTTACTTTATGTTTGATTTCTGTTAATAACTTGATACCTAAACAGTTAAAGCATTATGCAGCATAAAAATTAAGTCTAAATGTTGAATGATTTCGAAGGTACAACTAATAATGCAATTTTTGTTAATTTTGGCCCCGGTTTCCCTACCCTGTTTTAGGTATCTAATAATAGTTGAAAGAAGGGGGAGATTGGGGTGTTGTGAGCGTTGGGAACGTAAAATTTTTAAAGAGATTTTGTAATGCTGTCCTAAAATGGACAGTAGTTATTTTGATGGGTTTCTTCAGGCATTTGATGCCCTTAATCTGTTAATTAGGTTAAGGTTGTTTGTCACGGTATTGAGCGTGCTCGGAGGCAGAGTTTAAAGAGTAGCCGTATCCAAAATCCGTGGTAGACAAGATCGTAAACATTTTATGTAGCATTAAAAAGGCCGAAAACGGCAGGGTTCTAATAACGTTCAGATCCCGTAAGGCAGTTGGGAGCTTTTTAGCATAAAGCAACTGGATTTCCAATTTATTTGTAAAGTAAGAGAACAAATTATAATATCCTGACTCCTGTTTGGGTAGTGGGATTGCCTGGTTTACGACGGGGCCGAATGTTCCCCATTGCGTCCCTCTCGTTCTGTAATAAGATAGATAAAACCAAAGTGTCTATAAATGAGTTAAATCGTTAGCAATAAAACCAAGCGGACTCTTAACATACGTCACGCCCCGTGCGTTTGTCGAACGGTTTTTCCTGATTAGATGCAGTTTTCTGGAAGAAAACTGCTCCAATTTCAGCTTAAACGATTTCTCGTTGCACTCCGAACCGGAAAAGGGAAAAGTAATCAAGCTTCTCTAATTTCCGACCCTACAAAAAGACAAATGCTTTAAAATAAAAGAAATTGCCCAAGCTTGATTGAAAACGGATTCGCTCCACACTCAACCAAATCTATGTATACGAGGACGGATCTGATATTTTTTAGACACTACTAAAATGGAGTTTATACAAAGCGAAAACCGAATCACGTGATCTATCATTTCAAAAGGGAGAGAACGCAATGCCAATGCAGAAGTGATTTCTCCATATAGGCAACTTTGCCATTATTTTGATATTTGTATTTGTTTTTGTGGTAAGTGTTTGGTATTGGTATTTTTCTTAAACCTGTATCCTATTTTTTGTGATAAATTAATCCATTATTTTTTTATGGCTATATCATCAAAGAACGGGCGAACGATGTCGATATCGTGGATTAGATTACAAATGAGAAGGGATTAGAAAGAATAGGAGAACAGAGAGGAAGTCTATAAGAAATAGGCGAGATAGGTTGGTAGGACACCTTCTCAGACAAGAAGGCCTCGTTAGAGACACATTAGAAGCAGAAACAGGAGTTAATAGGAGTAGAGGTATACGCAGATCAGATTACTGTTCACAAATAGTTATGGATGTGGAATATTCTAGTTTTAGGGACTTCTTAGTCTTAAAACTATTGACCTTATGATAATAATGATATCAACAATGAGATTACGTCAATATTACCTTATTATAATTAAAAATTGTAATAGTATGCAATGAAAATGGCTAAAAGATTATAAAAAAATTGTAAACTCTTTCTTCAATTTTTCTATCGATAAAACCTTTTTACATTATACATAATCACTCTGAATTAAAGACTTAAATGATGAAAATTCTGAACTTTTTTCAAGTAAATAGATATTCTTGGATTTATTAGCGAAGTAAATTAATTTTTTATATTATTACAGTTTATCATTTCATACTTCATTCTTATTTTAATAATTAATTTTAAAGTATTCTTGTGGTACTTAGTAGTTTCTTGATTTTTATCTTTGATTTTAATTACGACCAATTTTAATGATCCTGGAGCTATGTTAGCTTGTTACGTACTTATTTAGAAATTAGCTAAAGTTCCCAACCATGGAGTGCCAATAAATAGGTACAAAAATATTTATCTGAAAAAAGGAGAGTTTTCTTCATTTAAAATTTTTTTACTATTAATTCTCTTTGTTAATAAGCCGCAATGATGTTCATAGTTTATAAAAAGATCTGTCAAATCAGTGCAGTCGTGAATTGTTAAAATTTTATTTCTTTACGGCACTTACTGTAGGAAACTATTGACAGTAAAAAAAACCTTGTTGTGATGTTTATAATGTTTCTCTATTATAGCTTACTAAAAAAGAAATAATAATTAAATTGTAATTTTCAATTTTGTTTGGACTTTAATGAAGAAGGCCGAACCCATGAAGTTTCATTTAAGAGTGGACAGGAATTCAGTGAAAAGGAATAAATTTTGTTTATGTCCTTCTTAAACTACAATGTTCAAAAGGAGCCATAAAATATTCCTCCTGCTACGAATGATCACGTTTTAAAAATCCATTTCTTTGATTTATTGTGTGTCCGTTAATTTTAACAGATCGATACTTAATCCTGCATCACCGTTATAGCTCATAAATTTCAAACATAATTGAAACAGACTCAGATCGTCGTTTTCGGACACCCGTGACAAAGTTGCCCTCTCGAAAATAATTTTTAACGTTGTAGAACTATTCATTTCTCTATATTAATTACACTTTTACATGTTCATTCGTTCGGTATTTAGTGCAGACATCTGTTTGTCCAATGTAACCGGAGAATCTGATACTAATTATTACGCTCCTTCAACTAGGGGTAGATTTATCGAATAAATAACTGTAATCACTTCATTTATTAATTTTCTTGTCCTCGCCACCGGTATCATCTTGAACCAATTAAAATAGATTGTTGGTAGGCGCAGGGCGCAGGTGTACTTCTAATTCGGATTCTGGTATAAGAACACGATGGGGTGCAGTTAATTGCTTTGTTAATGACGTCAATCTTCGGCAAATAAAGTGGGACTATTGTCGAAGAAAAGAAACTACCCTTCCGGAATTGATGAACTGCTTCAACTTTCTTTACATACTTATAGCAGTTTTTTCAGCATAAATTGGAATTTCAATTGTTCAAAGTTATATATT